TCCCTTTCTGTCCCCTTTTCCTTCGTTCCTCTCTTCCACAGCATGGCTGTCACGTCTGCTGTGACCAGTTGACGGCCGCCCCTCCCTGAGCCTAGTTTTGCTGGAGGTTTCTTCCTGTTAAAAGATCATTTTTTTCTTCCCACTGTTGCCAAAGTGCTTGCTTACAGGGGGTCATTTGATTGTTGGGGTTTTCTCTGTATCATTGCAGGGTCTTTACTTTACAATACAAAGTGCCTTGAGGCAACTATATAAAATAACACTGAGGTTAACTGAATTGAATTGTCTCTGTTGATTCTGGTTTTGGACACATAGACAAATGAGCTAAGCCTGGTGAGTACGGCTGGTTCATCAGCAAAGATTGTGTTGGTTTAGGCAAACAACAACAACTTTTGCATGCTGGCACACAATGGTATGGATTGCCATTCAGACATGTCTTTTGCTGATGTACTGCCGCAGCCATAGGAGGAATTTCTAGTGCACAATCTCGTAAAAAATAACAATGAGCGTGCTCCTGGTAACACGGATGCCCTGATTCAGTGTCTGTGGGTTTGAGAACTGTGAAATCTTCATGAACGTAGCAAATCTCCCCACATTTTTATGGGTGGATTACTTAAACTTCATGGTCAGACTTTATATAGAAAAAACAATTTTTTTTTTCACTGCATTGTAAAATACATTTTTATACTGACCTGGTAATCATCGACACAGTTCTGCAGCTGATCCACTGCACAGAGAAAGCGTCCAGTTGGGGGCAGCAAAGAGTCAGCGTCCCTCAACAACTTCCCCAGATGTTTCAAACCATTCTTGTAGATTCTCCATTGGTGCAGCTGTCCCTTTGTTAAGGTCCGGCTTTGACCAGCCAGAGCCACGGAGCTGAACCAGCCATTCTTTAAACTGACCACTTGTGCCGTGAGCTCAGATCTGTGCAATCCAACAAAATACAATTTCAGTTTTTGTGTGTCATTGGGTCCAAAACAATCAACTAAAACTAAAACCACATAAATAAATAAAATAAAATGGAGGCGATAAAAACTGTGTTACAGTGTGTCCACATACATACACACATAAAAACAAAAAGCATAAAATTTTACAACTAATGCAGCATAAGGGCATCTCTGTCACAGCTGATTTATCTGCAATCTATAAATTACCAACTGCAAAATAAGTGGGATCTTAAAAATGTCTTCCAGCTGTGAGCAGCGGTTCCAGCAGCGAGGGAAAATTCCCTCTGGGTTCTTTCAAAATTCTGAAACCGTTCCAAGCTTCTCAAAGAATTCAAAGATGGATTCAAGGACATCGAGGAAAAATACAGCAGTTGTCTGCCATGCACACACACACAGTAATTTATTTTCAGTCAGTTTAAGACCTCAAAACAACCACCTCTCATTAGTCAAATCACCACCCCATTTGTCTTTTGCAATGGATCCTTGCAGCTGTATTATTTCCCACACAAATCAAAAGGGTATGCACTCTACAAATATTTTCTTTTATGATTATACTTTGACCATTTAATGTCTCATGTATTTAAAGAAAATTCTACTGATACAGTTGTTATTTTATTACACTAGCAACAACAAATAAGCATTATTATATGCAAAGTATTTACTTCTAAGCCTTTTCTTGACTTATCCATCATTTACCTTTTCTCTCCTGTTTCTTTTTCCATGGATTTGATTGCATCACAGAGAAGATGCTGCAGAAGCTGATGTCCAACAATTATGTCAGCCTGAAGTCTCTGTGGGAGCAGAAAAGAGGGCACAATGTGAGTCTTACATCACTCTTTATCTTTTTTTAAATAAACACTGTTTATGATTAAACATTTCAAAAGTGTAATAAAATTGTAATTACATTTCTTGCAGCATTACAGCTTTTCTTCAAAATAACATGAAAATTGCTCCAGTGCTGCAATGCTCTCAGTCTCAGTGATAAATGAAATTACTGGGTCGAGGAGGTCATTAGTTTGGCTTCAAAGTGAATTATCAAATTTTTCAAATAGTTACTCATAGGGGGTATAAAGATGATTATCAACTTTGCTGATTAAAATGAGCTAATAGAGCAGTTTTTACATAGTTTTTATAACTAAAAATGAATAAAACATATTCTACCTGATGGACAATCAGCATCTCTTGAAGGCTTGGATAACTCGGATTTTTTCTGCACACTGCTTCCTGCTCCAGTTTCTCCTTGATCTGTGTCAATCTTCCACTCTTTTCCTGAAAGCTCAGGGAACGCTGGCACTCATCCTGCAGTTCTCTAGGAAAGAAATGTAACACACATCAACATGCAAAGCTTTCTTTTACTACAGCGCAGAAAAAGAACACTCAGTGCATCCATTGTCTCCAGAAAATGACACAATAAGTTATTCCTCAGAAGAATGTGGCAATAGACAACAACACTACAAAAAACACCCCCACCTTCAGTTATGAGGCTTTATGTATCAGGACACAATAAAAATAATCTGGTCCATTGCAGAAATTAAAATTAAGTAACTATAAGCTCAAATTAATATATAACATATATAACATGTAACATATATGGCATACACCATATATTACTCATTTAACAAAAATGTAATGAATTGCTGCATTAGTGCTTCCCAACAGACGCGGTGTAATATCTCTTGTTGTTCCTCAGAATCAGAATCTTTTATTGCCATTGTAGCAATCAAACACTGAACAACGAAACTGACGTGCAATTCTTACTTTCACAGTCAAAATAAAAATTAAGTAATTTTAATTTTATTTATTTTTAAAAGTGAGTTAAACTTGATAAAAGATAAAAGAGATTGTATTTAGCTGACCTTTACCCTGATAAGAATTATATTTACTGTGTTATAATATGTAAAACCTAAGAATAGAGGGTACACTTTCTGTTTATGATGATTGTACACTGCTATGTGATACATAAATATCTGAATTTGCCTGAAAAACTGTTAAATGTGCAGACAGCTACACATAGATTACTATCTTTGCTTTCTCGTGAATTGAACTTCCTCACCTGTCTGATGAACGAGTCATGACTTCGACCCACTCCCTGATGAGTATGTGCAGTCTCTCTGACTCCTGTTTGTTAAGATTCACGTGGCCACTCATGTCTCTGATGTCCAGCAATGATGGAAACAGACCACAGAGCTCCTGGAGTACCTGCTGCAAACCCAGGTATATTTGAAACAACTGTAGTTTAAGAGCATTTGTTAATAAAGTGTACAGGGATGTAGACAATAGTGAGTCCGACGAACCTTTACAGAGTCTGTGTTATCTTTGCCGGCCTTTAGTTTCTGCTGTAAGTCCTGCATCTGCTTTTTGAACACCTCCAGTTGGGCGTGAAATAGTTTACGTTGCTCTAAATCCTCCTGCACATTCAAAGAAATGTAACTGAGTATATATAACAGTTTGAGTTTGAGAAAGTGTCCCTCTGCACTCAGTGTGACGATAATAAATTCTCATACAGTGGGAAGCTAGACAGAAAGAAAACTGCACAGGTAAAATATTTCACATAACTTCCCTCACCTCAACACTCCTCTTTTTCTCTGCAGTTGCCTCGTTTAGCAACAGGATGCCACGCGACAGCAGTCTGGTTTCTGATCCTATTAAATTTGCAGGTAGTGGTTCTAGCCGGCCAATAAGAGGCTTGGATGCTGCTAAGACATCTCCCATGATGCTTTGCAGCTCTTCAGCAGCACCCTGCAACTTCTGGATAAAAGAACAAAAAACAAAACACAAAATTCTGATTTTTCATATTCATATATATCCATGTAGTGTGTTTAATTTTAAGCAGCAGCTTTAACAGAAAAACTTTTTAACCTTTCAAATTGTTTTCATCTAATTTATTTGAGGATTTCTTTTTTAAATAAAGCAGAAGATCAGAGCTTTTTTCTAACAAAATACACTTTTCTGTGTATTTTGAAGAAGAAAAACCCCAATATTAATAGCACCGCAAAAGCTTTTTGTTAAAAAAAAAAGAAAAAGAAAGAATTTCCAAATTAAACATGTAATACTGCATCAGAATTACGCACGAAGAGGGGACATCAGATGTATGAAACCTGAACAGACCACATTGGATATTTCTGCCAGTAAATGCATCCTGCCTGTTCAGTTCCAAGAATAGAGGATCAGTCATTGAGAAAAACATTTAATTAAATTGTGTATGTAATTCGTGTACTCTCTAAACCAATGCCAGGTACAGGATGAGTCAAAGGGGGAATTTGATGACTCTAAATACTGAGAATGGCAGATATGAAAAACAAGATCTATTAAATCCTAATAAGCTTATTTGCTTGCTCAAGATAACCTTTAATAATCCCAGAAATAGTTTCAATTCAACCACTTAAATTTATTCATGCTTTCAGATATTTGATCTACTCAGTCTTAAGCTACTTTAAAACCTTATGAAACAAATCCAATAACTTGAATTTTTTTATTATTATGACATAAATCACATTGTGGATAACAGTGGGTTTACTGCTAGAACTTCACACACGCATACTGAAGCATTACATAAGCGTATGAGGCAGCTGATTTCTGCTAACAAGCTGTTCTGTACAGACAGTCTAGTAACAGCCCTAAACTCACCTTTACTGAGCCATCTATGGCTTGAGTGTTGTGTCCAGCTGAAAGTGATGACCTTGATAGCTCCTCCCACTCATGCTGCAGGTGTTTCTGCTTTGCAGAGCAGCTACAAAAGAGACGAGTGTATTCCTGCCAGACCAAAAGCGTCTCTTCTGTCTTTATGTTTTCCTCCTTTATCTCCTGCACCGTGTTCTGCCACCTGAGAAGGATGCAATGCTTGATTACCTTGTGGCTGTATAGCGCTAACATGCACAAAGTAAGACCATAGTTGCCTGATTTAGTTGACGATGTGTGCAACTGTAACATGTTTAGTTGTTAATTGAAATATTGCTGCGTGCACTGCAACGCAGGCCTCTGACCGTTTTTGTTCTCCTTCCACTTCATCACGTAGTGCCTGTGCCGCTCCATGATGGAGAGACCCTACAAGACTCTGACAGGATTTGTTCACAGCTGCCCAAAGTGCTTCTCCTTTTCCAGCCTCCTCCTGGAGTTGCTGTGGGACATAAAACACATTTCTTTTATATTCCTTCTTACTCTAAACTAAAGCTCAGAGACTGAAAAGCACTGACGGCTTGACATCTGTGAGTGCCTACATCTATTCTAAATCTGTCACAACTAGAATGAGGGGCTTTTAACTTCATACAGCTACAGCTGGTTGGTCAAAAACATTGTTTTTCTAAACTGTTGCTTTAACACTGGCAAATATATAAGGCTTTCAGGAACTGACATGTCAAACTAATTAATATGATAATTGTTAGAATGAAATACAACATGTGATTATTTTTTCTTGTAGCTTTGTACGCACACAGTTGGATATAAAGGTTCACCAACAAGGCTTACCAGGAGGAAGTCCACGTATCCCTCTGCCTGCTTCAGCAAGAAGAGAGGAGCTTGTTGATGCTGAAAGGCACAGCGCACCCTGGTGGTGTGCAGAGTCACATCCCTCAGATCTCTGTGGAAACAACTCCACTTTTCCACAACCTGTTGAAGCGCAGGTCTCAGAGCTTTCATCTAGAAAGGCCGCCAGAAACAAGACCATTTATAAAGATAATTTATACTGTAGCTCAGTTCATCTGACATTTGGAATGATTTTTTGAGTACTCCATGCATTCTGTGCAGTTATTGAGCAACTTGTAAGACATATGACTGCACTAAGCACCATGTTTGGCATATGGTGCTGATCAGGGTGAGTTTATCAGAGCTTTGTTTGCTACGTCTGGAAAAAGGGACAGAAAAAAGAATAAACCAAGTGAAAGAGTGGAAGGACATAAAGCCAAAACAATGAACTTGAAAACACTTTGCAGAGGGAAAATGCAAAACTGAGTGATGAGTCACTGTGGGTCTATCATGATAAGTGACCCCTTTGTGTATGGAAGTGTTACTCAAGCATAAAGCAATAACTTTACATGTTGTCCAAGGTGTTTCAGGCCGAAATACTTCTCATTATCTGCTCAGGACAGGATTTACAGCTTATAAAGCTTGTGTTTTAATATGCTGTAATCTAGCACTGAATTATAGTAAGACTGACTTTTACCTCTTGACTAAGATCCCGGCAAGCATGACTGACGCCCTCTGCCTCATTAGAAAAGGCAACATCACATGGGCGCTCCTGTTCCCTTTTATCGTACACTTGTGTGGTTTTTAACTCTTGTAGAGCTGCAGCCACTTCCTTCACTCTACCCTCAAGAGCCTGACAAAAAAAAAACACATTCTCAGATCAGACCAGAGCGGAGGGGATGATACTCTACAAAAGGCCCTCATCTCTTTGCTCCTGTTACTTTACCTCCCACTCCAGCAGAGCCTTATGAGCCAGAGTTTGGCTGGTGGGCTGTTTCCACTGATTCAGCTGCTTCTTCTGCTGCTCTATCCAGCCGTGGAGACACTGCAAACGCCTCTCCCTTTCTGCACAAGTGCGATGGATCTGCTCAGCGCCACAAATCTGATGAGAGAAAGCCAAACGGTGGATGAATCATGACAAGCAAAAAAGTCATGAAAAGTTATGTCTTTATAGCCGAGTTGGTGTTAAAAAATGTATTTTCTTGTTCCTGTTGCTGTAACGTAATATAGATTTATGGCCTCTTTGGGGTTCCAGTGCCGATATAAATCACTGATGCAGCACACTATGAACTCACACACATATTTTTTACATAATAGCCTTTTATCAATGTCCAACTTGAAAAATCTGTTTGCATCAATAAAAATATGATAGATGGATAAACATAGAGGTTACAGTTGCATCAGATTAGTAGTAATCTGCCTGTTTTATTAGTTGCTGAGATAGAGACCTGACTTTCTAGCTCTCTCTGAAAGTGCAGCCACTGCAGCCTGGAGGCACCGAGTTCCTCTGCGAACGTTGTACGCTCAGAGCGGACTGCCTGGATGTCTGCCATCTGAGGCCTGGGCTGACACAGGAAATGAAGGAGGAGCTGCCCATTGGTCACAGCAGCTTTGAATACCTAAAAAAACAACATAAAAAATGAATAAAACTATGCAAACCGAACCGAAAACCATGCTAGATTCTCCCCTGCTTGAATAGACCAACAAATCGGATTTAATGTAGATGCCTCTGTTATGCCACTTTTTTAACTTACATTTTTCATACCTTTCAGTCTTTGAAGAATTAAATCAGTACTGTTTTAGTGGTTTAAATTATAGTGCTTTTACTGCAGGATGTGATTCATAGATGTCACTGACATAACAGCAGAAAAAATAAGAGCCATATCGAGGAGAGAACAGTGAAATGCACCCTTTCAAGGAAAAAGCAACGTATAAATTTCAGATGCTCGCTTGTTGATTGTCAAACAAATTGATGGATGGGTTGCGTCAATTCAAAGTAAAAACTGGCACTGAAATAACCTTTCAAATATAACCAATTGAAATAGATGCAGAGGAAAAAGTGAAAACAGAGACGGTTTAAGTACCTGGAAATTCTGCAGGATTTCAGTGACCTGAGCTGCACTGCTGGCCTTGAGGACTTTTTCTTTCTCCTGGTTCATGCAGTTCTTCATCTGTTTGAGCCAGTCCTCCAGATCAGAGAGAAGCTCCATCGATGGCTGTGCTGCCAGGAGACACTAAACGGGGAAAAGATAATAAAGAAAGCAGGGAGGTTCACTTTACATGACATATATTCCTAACTTTAGTTAGTTTTTTTAGATTACTTCATATGATTTATCTAACAATGTAATTATATTTCTAAACATCTGCTCCATTACTATCTGACCTTTGTGCACATCCGCATTATTAAATCTTTTTTATCTTCTCTGTGATTGCCAAATTTTTAAACATCAGAATGATTATGAAGCCAAATATCTGGTTCCACTCTCTGGTGATAAATGCTCAGGAGAAATTGAATCGTGGCTGTCTTCTAGATTCATGGTCCTCCCTATCCTCACTCGCCCTCATATAGATTTCAGCAGGGTTTAAGGTTGCACTCCCCTAACTGGAGAGGAGTTTTCAGTGCCCAATTATTTTTGAAAACCAACCAACTTCAATAAATTGGAAACTGGGCCACTATAGAAACCACTAGAAAGGGGCTATTCATCTAACAGTTAGGGTCTTTTGAAAACATTCTGCACCTGTTGCAGCTGGTCTTGGGTTTTTGACATGTCAGAGGTCAGCTGGTTCCAGCTGTTCTCCAGTTGGGTAAGCTGAGTTCTCAGTCCAGGGCAGTCAGCCTCCCTCAGCTGGAGGAGCTGAGCAGCATCCTTGGATGCCGAGGTCTTCAGTACAGACATACGTTCCACTTCCATGGAGAAGTCCTGGGGACATGTTGAGGTTAACTAATATTAGAAAACAAATCAATATTGTCCAGCAGCCAGTTTAGACCCATAGGTCCATCCATTATAAATTTGTGTTAATTTATTTGGACTTTTTGTAGGTGGTGTTTGCCCTTTCTAACTAAAGCTGGGGACAGGATTAAATATTATGTCATGTAAGGAAGCAAATTTTTATTAATTTCTTCATGATCATGTCATAGAATGCAATAAAGGGTTAGGGTTATGGTATCTGCTTATATCAACCTCGTATACCAAAGATTGTAGCGTTCTGTAACATTTTACAAATGCATTTTACGAAGTGCTTGAAAAAGACTTAAACCACAGGAACGATGAGGAATCATTTCATTAAAAAGCAAACTAGTAAGAAAAAGATAGATGTTAGGATGTTAGGGGCAGACTGCAGCGATTCTTTAACTGGGCTGTTATTAATCTTCTTTAGGTCAAAGGCTATTTGATGAGAACACAGAAAAGCCTTACCAGCAGCTTGATGAGATTGCTTTGAACACACTCCTGACTCAGGTCAGAGAGATTTACCAGACCTGACAAAGTCTTCAGGTGTTTGTTGGCACCAGCCAGCCATTCACTGACCAAGTCAAAGTTGGTGTGGAATCTGTGGGGAGGATGGAAAAGCACATAGCTCAACCAGTGGGGCAGAACATGACTGTACCTTCATACAGAGTGAGGTAAGGACTTGGGCTTGGATCCACAAGTGATAAATAGGGCTTGTAATTAGTGGGGGGGGTTCTGATGTCTGGGCTGTAGAATACATTCAATGAGAATATAAGGAACTTTCTGTACAACAGATTGTCGAATTGTTGCTGTAGGAACTCATATAGTAATTCTTTTCCTATGTCTGTTTTTCATTTGGCACGTTTTGTGTGGTCTGTGCTTCACTTTTTACTGACTAAGAGCCCAGGCAACATTTCTGAGCATAATTTAAAAAAAACCTAACAACATGAATCCACTAAATGTTCTGTTCAGTCTGTGGAAAGAACATAAGCCACTCAGATATGGATTTCAGGATGCTCCTATAAAGTATGCTACAAAGTTATTTGTTTATATATTCCAGATCATTTTTGCAGGTTGCTAGTTAAAGTGCTGTTAATATTCTTATTAAAAATCGCCATGGCAACTTTTGTGAATCCACTGACAAACATTTGACTAACAGTAATTAGTGGTTAACTTCACAATCAAATGATGGAACAATGAATCGCTGTGGAAAGACCAAAGAAACACACACAATACCTATACTCTAAACATTTCACACAAGGCCATCAGGTTATACCAGGCTTCATTGTACTTTAGCTTACACACAAATCAATAGAAGACTAAAGACAGATGGTTGTGAGGCACTTTTTCACATAGTAAAACTGAAAGGTTGTGAAAGAACATCTTGTTAGGGAGGTCTAAGTTCTTTTTAACAACCTTTTAAAAAGCTCATGCTGGGTAGAAAGAGACTTTTGGCAGATATTTGAACAAAGAACAAATGAAGAAAAAAAAAATCAGCAACATTTTTCATTCTGTGCAGGCAACAGTTTAAACTTTAGCCAGTAGATAATAAAGATCCCAGTGAGCCTGGATCACCTGATTTGGCTGTCCTGGATGTCTCTGCAGCGCTGAATCTCTTTCTCTGTTCGCCTGTAGGCATTCCTCCAACGCAGCTCCAGAGCGCCGCCTGTCTGATGGGTTGATGCAGCAAGCAGGGGCTCTGCCTGCAGCACCTTACCCTGATCCAGAATTGCTCCTAAAGTGGCTTTGTTGTCATCCAGCTGGACCAGTGTTTGCTAAGTGACAAGGAGACTTATCAGTGCTTATGCTTAGAATATCTGGAAACTCGATCTAATGCTCAAAGAGACACTTTAAAAGTCTGACGTGCAAAAATGATACGTGAAAGAGGTAGAGGACAGAAAATCAACAAGTTAATAGCAGATGCAAAAAAAATCATCTCTCATTCTCAGTGCCAATAAAGCAAAATACCACCTAAGCCTTCACTATGGTTGCAGCTCTCTTTATTTCACAGTTCACTCTTTATTACTGTCACTGTTAGCTTCTATTTTCCCATTTTCCCACCAGTATTTTAGCACCATTCGTTCCTTTGTCCTAAATTGACTCAAGTACCTTGGCTCCTCACTCTGTGTCACATACACACATTACTCATTACGATGTGACTGCAGTGAAGAAAAGAGCTCTCACAAATCCTAAAGAAGCTCATTATTCGGTTTCTGTTTAATTTATTGGGGGATGTATTTTCATCACAGTGATTTCGAGTCATGACGCACAGAGGCAGCTGATGGTACAAAACTATCACTTTAGTAATTAGTCTGTGGTGAAATATGCAGTACCAAATGAGATATAAAATCCTAAATAGATTGATGGTTGCTGTCAGCTTTTAGTTTAAATTAATTCTGAGTGTAAACTGGAGAGTCCTGTCCTACTGCTGCCTGTTCATGAAACAATACAACTTGACATAATGT